GTTATTTCATAATTCGATAGAACTCACCCAAACTAGCTCACCACCGCAAACCGTTTCTTGCTGTGAGCTCCCTACGTTTTATAAAAAATTATTGGAATCCCCGATTTTTCGGACCTCTGAAAACGAGGCGATGATGTGACGTCAAAACCATAATACTGAAACAAGACTATTCCAGACAGAGATGAATGATACATGATTTCTGACAAAGCACCAAGATTGGTGAATCGGCAAGTTGATTTTTGGGACGAAGATAATAAGAACAAGAAGAAGATCAATTCTAACCTATATTAACTTTTTGCAGCTTCATGTAAAACGGGTCGACAAAGCAATGTTGCTGCGTTTATGAAATATTTTGGATTATTGTGAAATTGTAATGGTGCAAATAGTTTCGAGATTGAGACATTTCGTTGTCTAGAGATTGTTTATATTCCAATGATTCAACCTACAATCGACAACTTGAATATATTTTTCTGCAGTAGTAGTAGTGGATATCAAAAGATATTTCAATATCGATTTCGATCTCTCGGATATTTTGTTTGGATGATATGGCAACAGTGATAAGTGTCAGTTCTAACTATGGCGAGATGAGGTTTCTACGTCATAAGAGGGACCGTTTTCAGAAGGTACTATTATTTATGTCCAAGAATAAAACATTCCAGTTACTATTTCGATCGAATTATGTCGTCAATCATTATTTATGTATAAAAGGATCATTATAAACATGGTTTGAGTTAAAAGTTCTACTAAGGTGTACACGCCCATTGCCGGTACTGGGCTGACACCAATCGACCAATCCGAGGATTTTCCACGAGACATACACACGCAACACCCCCAGAAGTTAAACCCAGATAACACACATACATCCATTGGATGTCCATTTTGAATCCATTAGGTAGCCGGATGTCCATGGATGTCCAATGGACATCCATTGTGTATATGTACAATGGACATAGAGATTTGTACATACAATGGACATCCATTTTGTAGTTGTACAATGGACAACGAAATTTTTACAGCCAATGGATATCCATCATACTTATCCAATGGAAATCGTTTCGCAAAGTATATATGTGTCATTTATGACTCTTCTATTTCAATTCAAATATTTTTACCAATAATATATAATATATATATGAACATTAATCACGGACAACTTCGCACTCGGTACTATTTTTCAAGATTTTATACGTCTCATCATTTTTTTAGGTTACGTACCTATAAAGAGGTAGGTACTTATTTTAAAGTTGATTTTCATCCAATTTCAATTTCAAACCATTTAGGCCGTGCAAATAAGATCGATATGGGCAAATATTATACGGCGGGTTTCTTTCGAAAAAGATGAATCACCCTGTAACACTTTCGATAAGGGCCGTGTAAAAGCTTTATTGCGGTACTAAACTTCAGCAAATTGCATTTTCTCTCGATGTGAAATACCGTGAATACGAAATACTTGCTATAATATTTATAACAGCTCAGTGGTCCAGAGGTTAGCGTTGTCACGCAAAGCAGTAGTGCAATTACACTACGTCATCAACGCTATCATAAGATGCCAGCACTACCCAGAATGCCTGAAAACTGGGCTTGTTGTACCCATCCCGAAACAGGGCAAAAACCTGAAATCCACAAATGGCTACCGCCCCATATCTCTGCTTAGTGCCGTAGCCAAGATCGTGGATAGAGTCCTCTTACGACTAATATCTCGAGAGATCAATAAACTGGATCTTATACCAAAGGAGCAGTTCGGGTTTCGCAAGGGACACAGCACTGTGTCCCAAGTGGCCCGAATTGTTCATGAGGTAAAGGAGGCCAGCAACAATGATAAAAACACCGTTCTGGTCATGATGGACGTAGAAAAGGCCTTTGACACCGTCTGGCACGAAGGTTTAATGGCCAAGCTGCACAAGGCAAGAGTGCCGATTTTTATCATTAAAATTATCGATGCATATATTACCAACAGGAAAATCCGGGTCAAGGTCAACGAAAGTATATCGGGAGATTTTCCACTCGAGGCAGGTGTTCCGCAGGGATCTTGCCTCTCACCTCTATTATACACACTATATACACACGATTTCCCTGTATTCGAGCGGACGAGCACTGCACTGTACGCAGATGACACAGCGATCTATGCACACTCGGCTGACTCGGATATTGCCAGACAGCAAATCCAGATTCATCTGGACAGGGGAATCGTGCCATACTTTGACGAGTCAAAGATCTGTATAAACAGCGCGAAAACCGAAGTCATCAACTTCCATCAGAAATTCAAGGAATCGAAGCTGAACAGACCTTTGACCGTCAAAGGTGTCGAGGTGAGGGACACGGTCCCTGTGAAATACCTGGGGGTTAAACTGGACACTCGTATGACATTCAGGCCCAATATCAACTACCTGATACAAAAAACACAAGCAGCCATAAAGAAGATGTACCCCTTGTTATCCAGGACCTCTGCACTCTCGCAGGAGAACAAGGTCCTGGTGTACAAGCAGGTCATCAGGCCTGTGATGACGTACGCGTGTCCTGTGTTCTGCAGCATCTCACCTACTCTTATGAATAGGCTACAGGTGCTGCAGAACAAAGTACTTCGTATTATCACCAATGGTGATAGATACTCTCGAGTGGCAGACCTCCACGAAAGATGTGGTAATTTGCCAAGAATCAACGAATTCATTCTTAAGATATCAAACAAATTCTACAAATACCACATCGCTGGAAGTGACCTTACCCGGAACATCACCACACTACGCCAACACCATAACATACGCAAGAAACACGGGCTGATATATGCATCAACCGATGTGTTTAGAGAACCTGGTGATCTATAGTTGGGATCCCTCCCGGATTCTCGGGAATACCCGAGACGCCGGGGGGTCTAGACAAGACTATCTCTCAAGCAGGAAAATAAAAAAGTGACATGGGCGTGAGAAATCACTACCGATCACTGAACTCGGGCAGATGTGCCTCACGAAAGTGTGGTACAGCTGCCCGAGCAGAACAAGAAGGAGGTTTTTTATGGTTTTGCCGATGTTTTTACTTTTCCTCCAAAAACAAGCTAACCCACCCACATTGATCGCGACTGAACAGCTCCCCCACCCTCTTGGGTACCCTCAGCGAGATTACCTATATAAAGGGCCTAGCCCTAGGAGATAGGTACCTGTGACGAACACATCGCATACCCACTCACATTCCCAGGCCAACACCAGCCACCTCTGCGCCAAGCGGAGGGATATTCAGGCACACATATAGATGTGCTAACATAAATAGAAATGTGTGTGATAATATGTGTTGTATTGTGAAAGAATTGAAGATGAATAAATAATTTTAATTTTAATGTGTGTGTGATCCACGAGAGCGGGGGTCGGGAGTTCAATCCCCTCAGAGGACAACTTTTTTTTAATTTCTACGTTCTGGCTGGACAAAATTTGGATATCCAATGGAAATCCAATGTATTCCTAATGATTATCCAATAGACTTATCATTGGAATGGACATAAGTTGGATTCTTGGTAGACATCCATTAGAGTTCTGATGTGTATTTCAAATGTAATGGACATACAATGGATCTTCATTGGGAATCCATTGGATGTCTGATGAGTATCCAATAGACTTCCAATGGAAAGGACAAATATTGGATGTCCAATGGAAATCCATCAGATGTCTAATGGAAAGCCAATGGACTTCCAATGTATGTCCAAACTGTTGGACATGTATTATCCATTGGATGTCCATTGGACAAATACTGGACAATGCCGTCCATCCAATGGATGTCCAGGGTATCCATAGCTGGACATCCATTGGTTGTCCAATGGATTCACTTGTGTTGTCTGGGAATGTGTGGGCTGTTATTTTCGGAAATTTCATTGTAGGACCTTTTCTCCTTCCTGGAAATTTAGCAGGCGATATGTACTTGGATTTATTACAAAATGCCATCGACCCAGCTCTATCAAATATCATTGAGAACGATCCCGCATACAATCAACAGGAACTGATTTTCCAATAAGACGGAGCTCCTCCTCATTATTCCCAAAATGTGCGCAATTATTTACATGACACAATTCTAGGACGACGGGGCCCAATAGAATGGCCACCTGGGTCAATCGACCTAAGTCCTTTAGATTTTTTTGTGGGGATCGACACATCAAAAGCCTTGTTTACAAAACACCACCAGACATGCATCACTATATAGACGTGTACTATCGAATGGCACTAATAAAAAGAATTTCGAGATCAAAATAAAATTTGAGGTTAGACCCCTTTTTCCACTCGAAGTTTTACACTGTAGCAAATTTCCATGCGGTAGGCACAATCACGAGGAGTTCAATCATTTAAATTGTTCTAAAGTGGCGTACTCGATTTTTTTCTCGTATTTTGTTCCATTTTTGGGATGAAATTTCTCGTTAACTAGAAGAATTAGAAGAAATCTGATATCATGGGAATATATTCGCCAGACTGTATCATATTATAATGTGCTGAATATATGTGCACTTATTTCAAAAACACCTTGTATTTATATATATATATCGATGTCTTATTGTCAATGAATGAGCAATTTGGTAATTATATATATTATATTATACACTCACCGGTGAAAAACTGACAAATTGGCAAGGTTTGTTGAAAAAATATCAATGAAGTAGCAATAATCACCATAGGGGCCTCAATAGTTAATGCCTCCGCAGTATTCTTTTCAATACTTATTCACGAAAAAAGCAGGAAAAGTACGATTCGAACCCGGAACCTTTTGAACTATCGGCACGCACATTGCTCCATAGGGGAACTAATATGTCCAACAAACATTTTCACCCTCGCCATTCTCACCATTCTCACCAATCCCTCACCTTTTCCGCGGGAATGAGATGCGATATTTAGGCGCTACTATCAAAGAACCACAGAACCGAAGATTTACACAGAAGTCATAATTTGATCGGATAGCCCAGATAGCTGTGGCCGATCCCAAAGTGACAAATAAAATGAGAAGAAGAATTTGACATAACCTCATCTGATAACCAACAATTTTTGTTCGTGCATGTTGCTTGTTGATTTTAATTTTTAATTAAGAAAATGGCAAAAATTCCAAAACATCTTGGAAAACCAAGAAAATCGTTGACAAAAAAATCACCAACAAGTACCATTACTCCTTTGAAATCACCAAAGGGTATCAAAAAGACACCCCAAAAGTCTGTTCAAAAGAATAGGAAAAAGGAGTTCACGGCCAAAAATCTAGATGAGTATGAAGACTCCTCTGATAATTTGAAAAAAAGGAGCTCAAGAAGCAAAAAAACTGGTGGTAATCTGATAGACAATGAAACAGGGAAATCCAAGAATGATTCAAAACGTGTTGTTAGTTCTACAAAGAGAGACAGGTCAACATCAAATGATGCTATTTATTTCCAACAAATAGTTCAGTCATCTGTTAAGAATGTTCTTGAAAAATATGAAATAAGCCTCACAGATATTAAGAGTGCAATTGAAGGTGTTATAAAATTCCATTCTGAGAATCCAAAAATAAAAAATCAACTGTTCAATGAGCGTTTCCCAATATCAATAACAGTAAATTGTACTAAAATTCCTAGAGGACATCCAAAATTATACAGAGTACCATTGAAAAATTCTCTTCTCACTGATAGTGATGATATATGCCTGATTGCTTCAGAGGTGAAAGGAATAGGCAATAAAGAACATGATAAGCATGTTGAACACTATGAGGATTTGCTTGCTGCAAAAGGAGTTACAAATATCAAGAAAATCATGACCTTCCATGAGTTGAGAACAGAACATGAAACTTTCGAGCAAAAATCCAGACTAGTAGACTTGTATGATATGTTTTTAGTCTGTGGGAAAATCAGTGGTAAAGTTGTGAAAAAATGTGGCAAAATATTTTACAAAAAAAGGAAAGTTCCCATTCCTGTAAAGCTACAGGCTAGTAAATTGAAGAGCCACATTGATCAATCATTATCAAAAAGTTTCTTTCATTTGCACTTGAAAGGTGATAGCTATAATCTTCAGTTTGGCCACAGTGAAATGGATACGATGAAAATAATGGAAAACTTCTTGTCTGTTATTGAGTTTTTGGACAAAAACTTTCCTGGAGGTTTTGATAATATCAAAGGATTGTTTGTTTATGCTCCTAGATCAACATCTATTCCAGTATTTGTGTCTACAAGTAAGTTTAATTGAAGATTGTCTTAAGTGAGTTTGTTTTCCACATTTTCCACCAAAAATTTGCTAGATTTCTCTCTAAGAATTGTAGAAATTGTAGCAGTGGATTTTTTCAGTTTTTAAACTTGAAAATGTGTACAACAAACATCATTTAATTTTTGTAACACTACTTCATTACTCTCTCAGATCAACAAATGTTGATCTGAGATTACTCTAGACTTAGACTCTAGAGCCAGTAATTTTTTTTTATATGATGACTTATTCAACATCATCTGATGACCTTAATCTTAGAATAATTCACAGGTATTTCATGATATTTCCCTCATTTCTCCCCATTCCCATTCCCTCTCCATTTCTTGTATTTTCCAGTTGTCATTCTTACATGTAAGATCTTCTGTAAGATAGATTTCTCTCTAAGAATTGTGGAAATTGTAGCATTGGATTTTTCCAGTATTTAAACTTAAAAATTTGTACAAGAAACATCCATTAATTTTTGTAACTCTACCTCACTACAGCTTAACTAGACTCTAGAGCCAGTAATTTTTTTATATGATGACTTATTCAACATCATCTGATGACCTTAATCTTAGAATAATTCACAGGTATTTCATGATATTTTCCTCATTTCTCCCAATTCCCATTCCCCCTCCATTTCTTGTATTTTCCAGTTGTAATTCTAACATGTAAGATATTCTGTAAGATAGATTTCTCTCTAAGAATTGTGGAAATTGTAGCATTGGATTTTTCCAGTATTTGAACTTAAAAATTTGTACAACAAACATCAATTAATTTTTGTAACTCTACTTCATTACAGCATAACTAGACTCTAGAGCCAGTAATTTTTTTATATGATGACTTATTCAACATCATCTGATGACCTTAATCTTGAAATAATTCACAGGTAATTTCATGATATTTCCCTCATTTCTCCCCATTCCCATTCCCTCTCCATTTCTTGTATTTTCCAGCTGTCATTCTAACATGTAAGATCTTCTGTAAGATAGATTTCTCTCTAAGAATTGTAGAAATCATAGCAGTGGATTTTTCCAGTTTTTAAACTTGAAAATTTGTACAAGCATCATTTAATTTTTGTAACTCTACTTCACTACAGCTTAACTAGACTCTAGAGCCATTCATTTTTTTTATGATGACTTATTCACCATTATCTGGTGACCTTAATCTTAGAATATTTCACAGGTATTTCATGATATTTCCCTCATTTGTCCCCATTCCCTCTCCATTTCTTGTATTTTCCAGCTGTCATTCTAACATGCAAGATCTTCTGTAAGATAGATTTATCTCTAAGAATTGTAGAAATTATAGCAGTCAGTGCATTTTTCCAGTTTTTAAACTTGAAAATTTGTACATCATTTAATTTTTGTAACTCTACTTCACTACAGCTTAACTAGACTCCAGAGCCATTAATTTCTCCCAATTCCCTCTCCATTTCTTGTATTTTCCACTTGTCATTCTAACATTTAAGATCTCCTGTAAGATAATACTTCCTATTCAACATCTTTACATCAAAGATCCCAACTTGGTAATGAAAACAAATAGGGACACATAAATGAACTGCATTCATATTTTCAGAATCAGCTAAAGAAATAGGAAAAGTAAGCACAAACACTTCTAAAAATCCTGTTAAAACATGTAGAGGGGAATTAACAACCTTGCCTGATGCAGAAGTTATAGTGAAACCTTCTGGGCAAGTTTTTGTCAAGAGGACAATAGCTAGGAAGATTGAAACATCTGATGAAAAAATTACTGATGAGGACATCATTCAAGCCAATAAAGAAGATAGTGAGAACAGAGACATAGTAACTAAGAAGAATACTAAAGTGAAGGGCACTACTAGTGATAGTAAAGTTGCAAAAAAAAGAAAACCCAGTAAAGAAATTAGTGAGGATGTAAAAAGGAAAACTAAGAAGCAAAAAATAAACACAGACCAAGGTGGAAAGAAAGCCTTCAAGTCAAAGGATGATAAGAAAAAGAAAAGGAAAGCTGGACCAATTCAATGAAATACAAAAATATATTATATAATACTGTCATTTTAATAAAAACAACTCATGGACATTTTTGTTTCATGAGATTCTTGCAGTTGTTTCTTATTAATTTCCCAATTGGGAAAAATAAGCATGAAATCAAAAATTGCCAGTAGAATGTTTAAAATTGAGTGCATATTGAAAAGTATTTCTTTTCATACCATTCAATAAAGTATGGTCTGATCCTTACAAGTAGATATACTTTGGTAATTGTTGATGGATTTATCACTAGTAAGCTGTGCATTTAATACAATTTCTAAAGCTTGATAGTCTCTAAGTCTTTTCACATCACTGTCCCTTCGCAGTCTTGTATCTGGGAGTTTTCTGATTCTATCTACTTGGTCTTCTTGAACTGCCAGCTCAGAGCAGCAGATTTTCAAAAGAGTGCTGTAAGTCAATTTCCACCTAGGTATTTCAATCTCAATAAAATCAGGGTCACTAGATCCCTGTACTCTGATCTTCAGAACAAGATCTGAAATAAATCTGTTGTAATCTTTGTGAGGTTTCTTACAAAAGTGCTAACCATCATTCTGAGAAGTTGGTAATGAAGTGGTAGGCATCCTTCCAAAATCAGTATGCTTGGATTTGATTATATTTCCTAATTCTACTTGACTACTAAGAGGTGGGTTTCTTAGGTAGTTTGGTGTGAATTTGACACCAACTTGATCACCTTGGTTTTGATTACTAGAAAAACTACAGACTTCAAAAGGGAGTAGTCCTTTGAAATCTTTTATATGCTGATCAGCTCCATTTGCTATCAGAATTTTCGCGATGTCTTCGTTTCCACGCTTGCATGCCCAATGTAAGGCAGTCCTGTAATTTATAAAGTACATGTTCTCATGATTTTTCATTTATTAATATTATTAAATGAATATTTGTTTTACCATCCATTCATTGAATTCTGGGAATTAACATCTATGTTTTGAGACAAAAGTGTAGTAACAGCATCAACATCACCTAAACAGGCTGCTTCCCGGAGTTTTTCTTCTAAAATTTCTGCCATCATTACAAAACTAGCAGTACTAGCACTGCCACTGTTTATTTTTGTGATTTGTGTAGACAAACAAATTACAAATCACTTGAAATAGTGACACTAGTGTCTTCTCATAATTTGTACTTATCAAGTATAGCCTTTTGCTTTTGCCGATAGTTACCAAGTATGGAATTTCAGAAAAGAGAAGAATAAGATTAATTAACAAAATTTCAATATAACCTAACAAAATCTAACATAATTTTTTTGAAAAATATAATTTTGAATTCACATTTTTATGACTAATAATAATGACAATAATGATCCACTGATAATAATAAAAATTCTTCATTATGAACGAAATGTAAGGAATTATTAGATTTATGAATATTGGATACATTTCTGTTGATATGTTTTGTTCTTTCAGAGCACAGAAACTATTTCATGATCATAAAAATCCAATAGTCAAATTAGATCTCATTGGAACCAAATTGTTCTTCAAAGCAACCACTGCTGAAGATCGGGAAAGAATTGAAACCAATCAATCCAGTTTAGAAAATGTCCTAAGACAATTGAGGGTAGAGAGGAGGTAATATATAGGAATATGATCATCTATCATGAACAAATTATATTTGGAAAATGATTGCTCATCAAATTGGATCCAAATATCCAAAAAAGTTTGGGGACCCTACAATACCTGTCTATAAATATCTTCACCAGTCTGTGTCCTTATTCTATCTTAATAAAAAATCTTGCTCAGTTCAAAGTAGATATTACCCTTGTTGAAGAAGACTTGTAAAAAATAATATATAAATTTTATAATAAGCCCCACTTGAAATTTGTGCAGTTCCATCCTGAGTTGTTGAGCCCCTTTGACAAACTTTTTTTTGTTATTAATATTAAGGGTTTCACTTATTGATGTGAACTGAAATTCACACATAAAACAGTTGTCAACCATAATGACAACTCTACACCAATTTTATCTTGGATTTTATGGCATTTAAATGAAAATATATGGAATATATATATTTCCTGCATCAAGATGATATATTATTATAATTATTATTATTATGATTCAATTCAACTTCAATATCAACTTACCATTAACTCAACATCAACCTAACATTAACTCATCATTAACTTAATACATTGACACCTTAATGGTAAATATTATTGAATTACCTATACCTAACATTGATTCATCATTTAATTATCATTAACTAAACCTCAAATAAACATGTAAAAAACATTAATTTGACATTGAACTTGACCTCATAACATCAATAGCTCAACAATAACAACATTAACTGAGCATTATTGAGTACTGTAAGTCTTAGTGTAAGGAGAATCGATCAGTGATAGTAATATTAAAAGTTATATTAATTGGTAACTCAAACTCTTCCACCATATTGGATCCGCCATTTCGAATTTTCCAATTTTGACAAGAGAATCATCATCAATCTCCAACCCCGAAAACCCCCAGATACAAATTTTGAGAAGATTCAGATGATAATTACAAAACTCGATCGTCGGCCATATTGGATTCGTCCTCTTGAATTTCAAAATTTTGACGAAAGAATCATAATCGCTGATCCAGAAAACCCGCAGATACAAATTCTGAGTAGATTCGGATCATAATTACGAAACTCGTCCGCCATATTGGATCCGCCATCTTGAATTTACCAATTTTGACGAGAGAATCATAATCTCTGACCCCTAAAACCACCAGGTATCAATTTTGAATAGAATCGGATTACAATTACAAAACGCGTCCGCCATTTCGTTTTTTCGTCTAACAAAAATTTCATGAGGCATTGCCACCCGAACTTATGAATACCTGGCGAATTTCAAATGAATCGGTCCGTATGAAGTGGGTCAACATTGAATTCAAAGGGGTCGGTTACATACATAGATACAGATGAAACCAATAAAAGGGTAATTAATAAGAACTTCACACACGATCCCCCCCTCTCTCTGTTATTGACAGCAACCCGAACATCTCATCCAAATTACTCGCCTGAAAACGCTTCGGTTCAATGCGCAGGATGTCCTAAACTGTCGTTCATGACATCGAGTCATGTCCCTTAGTATTCAGAAACATAAGTAAGAGAGAGTAAGATATATGAGAGGTCCTTAATGCGCACTCTCCGACGGACCAAGTTCGATCTCGTAAATAAATGATATTTATCTTTTACAGCATTAGCGGTCGTCAGTAATTAATGTTGGTGAATAACACCCTTGAACACTCGTTAAACACTCCTAATGTTATTGGCAATTTTGATTCAATATTATAACAGGGTGTTTCAAAATAATGTGACCCCCTTGCTAGGCTAGGTAGAACACTGCAAAATAAGTTGGGTTTGCTCAGTGAAAAAATTTCTTAACGACAACAAAATATTCTTCTAATGCTAAACTTATTAATTAAACAACGAATCACGAGAATAACATTCCAATTTTGACTAAAAACATGGATTACACAGACGTCAAGAGAAGCAAGACAAAAATGAACCTCACTTAAATGACCTATATACCCACCTGATCTTCGCCCACATAGAAGAATAATACATTCTTGAGAAAAAAGAAAGATTCATATATTCGTGGAAACGGAGGCCATTTTGGACACTTTACTCAGTTTACTCTAACTGATTCAATATTTTATGTTTCAAGTGAAATTTATCTCAAATGTCTACTTGTGATTCTTAATTCAATCAATAAATTTGGCCCTCTATGAGAGTAAGATAACAAAACAAATTCAAGCGATTTGTCATCTTCAGAACATATCCTTACAAAATTTCATCACAATGTTGCCAGTATCTTTGTATCTTTGAAACGGATACGTTACGACATTTTTTTTACTGAGCAAACCCAACTTAGTTTGCAGTGTTCTACCAACCCTAGCAAAGGGGGTCACCTTTTTTTGAAACACCGTTTGAAAATATACAGGGTGTTTCATTTAGGGAATTCCAAAAGACAGAACATATGAAACCCTACAACTTTTATATTTGAATATTTTTCCACCTCGTTAGTTAAGTAGGTATACAGGGTGAGTCATTGAAATGGGAAAGTCGTGAGATAACGACTTCGCTGTTTGACATAGATGAATGAGGATTTTTGTGATGGTCTAGGCTCATGAGAAGCATATTTCTAAATTACTTTGCGTATACAGGGTGACTCAAATATGCGTGGCGTATGAAAGTCATACTTTTTATTATAGCTAGGATACCCTGTGTTTTATTACATTTTCGGATTCTTCTTTGTGAGCTGATTTCATCAATGCATCAGACTTGGGTCTAGCAAGAATGATTACAGAGATATGGGGTGTGCAAAATTGAGATATTTCAACTTCAGGATTTTTTTGGGTGGAAACTAAAAATAATAATAAAAAAAAAAATATATGGGTGGAAACTAGGACCGCAAGGTCGTGGGTTCGATTTCCAGCACAGGCAAGGCACTTTTTTCCTACACGATTCGCTGTTGCGTTCCAATTAACAGTGCTGCTCCTAACGTGGCGCATGGAGTTAGTAACAAAGCCTACACAGAACACGCAGAAAGATATGATGATGTGGTTGTGAGCATCAGAGAAGAAGTAGGACGGTGTATGTAGGTGGGTGTGGAAAACTACCAGCTGAGCGTGAGAGCGGGCCAGCTGCTTAAGTAGACCTCGGTCTCGGGGGTTAACGATGATAGTTAGCAAGCCTGCCACTGCGCATATGGTAGTGAGTACATTACTAGCCTACAAAACACAGCTGAAAAACTCTGAAAAGAGAGCTGATGGGCGGTGCCTGAAAAGGATGTTAGCCAGCTCTCTTGAGCGAACCACATCAGTCATTGAAAACACTTGGGGTTTGCAAAAAGGTCCCATTGGGGACTAGTTGCTGACGTGGAAACGTCCCCCACCAGTACCAGTACCAGTACCAGTTGGGTCGAAACTATTCATTATTGGTCAAAACGGCATACATGTCCCTATCTTAACTTTTGATTTACTATCTACTGATGATTAATTTGGACGAATACAGGGTAGTATAAAATTTAGAATTATGAATCACCCTGTATTCGTTCAAATTAAATATCAGTAGATAGTAAATCAAAAGTTAAGATAGGGACATGTATGCCGTTTTGACCAATAATGAAGTTTCGACCCAAAAAAATCCCAAAGTTGAAATATCTCGATTTTGCACACCCTATATCTCTGTAATCATTCTTGCTAGACCCAAGTGTGATGCATTGATGAAATCAGCTCACAAAGGAGAATCCGAAAATGCAATGAAATACAGAGGGTGTCCCATAAGAAAAAGTATAACTCTCCCACTGAGCAAAGTAATATCTCAACAATATTGCAGCGATATTTCAATGTTATGTGTAATGTTACATCAGATATTGTCGCTATCTTACTGCAAGGTCGTAGCAACTACTGAAACGGACGTTCAGCAATATTATGAATGTAATGTTCGCAAATGAATCATTCCAGCAGAGTTATTGTAACATTGTGTATGAAGTAAAGTGACATTTCATACTCAATGAACGAATGTAATCTTATTGTTATATTTTGTTAAGGTTACTGGCAACATAAAATAAAAAGTAAAGGAAAATCACATATTTTATATTATAAATTATACATAGTAACAATATTCTGATAATCGAATAATCGTGTCGACTATTTCATAATTCAAAAGTAGATTGAAAAAATTTCTAAATATTTTTGATATAACGGTACTAGGTCTCATAGGCACTGCACTGCATAAGAACCTGGAACAAAGGAAATAATGATAAAATAAAATAGTCAGGAATCTACCTTCTAGTTGAGTTAGTTAATCTACCGGTTAAACTTGAGAGTTGAGGATTGTATACTTGATTCTGGAAATATTCATTTTCCAAGGTATGCTGAGAGTATCCTTATAATATACACTGAAGATAATATATGAATATTTCTCAGCATCTAGAGAATATTCTGAAGAACGATATTTGAGGTTGTTTTAGAATGAATTGTGAGTGCGAGCTCAAAGTTTTTTCTACAACAACTAAGTGCAGTGAAATGAGAGATAAGATTTGATGATTCGAGCAATGATTCTACTATCACTATGAGGTTAAACAAAACCTCAATGTCCCTAAGTGTTTCAGTAATAAAAAGGATTGATTTCATATAATTTGTAATGTTTTATAGAGTTCCTGATAAAGAGCCGATAAAGACCCGAAAGCTCAAACAGAAACAATAAGAAAGTAGGTACACTTTGATTCACTTTGACTGCATTCACTGACTGAATTCACGGGGTTGTCCTATATAACTTTGAGTAGGTATACGAATAATTATAATCATTCTATATGTTATTTTTTGTCGATCGAACGATCCGCTTAGATCAATGAACGATGAATGAATTTGTAAAATGTATACCTAACCTAGAATAACTGATGTTGACTTACCTAACCATCAACTGCTAACTGCGATTCAAAACCTTCCCAACTGCCTAATATCACATATCGCCAGATCACCACTTATACCTCAATTTATGTTCCAAAGTATATTATTTATTGGTATCATTTGCCATTTGGACGTGTACAACAACAAAATACCTGTTACCGAAGCCAAACACGAACAAATATGGCGACTAAGATAGTGGCGTTTGTCGAATGCAAGTTTGCGATTGCTCGTAGGCGTTTCATGAAATGGCGTCTCTCGATCGATACCCAATGTAGCATTTTGTATATTTCAGCTATATTACATTTTTAATTGAAATATGTGTTGCATCCCATAAGTTGTAGCAATATTGTTTGTAGTTACCTCATGTTATTCACAAACCCAATGAAGTATCAATGTTGATGCAACATTACAATTGAAAATTCCATATGTAACGTTGCACTGATATTGTTCGTAGTTGATCCATGTAATGTTGCAATTTCAATGAGAATATATAGTTGATGCAATATTGCTATTGAAACTCAATTGAAAGGGTCATTTTGTAACTTACAAACAATTCGTCAGTAAGTTTTTCTGTTATATCGTCAACACGAATATAGCAGCAAAATAGATACAATATTGTATTTTCATATTACGGAAGAAAGCTTCACAATATATTGTGGCAATATTTTGTAACATTACATGTTTAGTGGGCTGATACGTCACGCATTTTTAAGTCACCCTGTATAAAGCGAAATATTATGGAAATGTGCTGCTCATGAGCCTAGATCATCACAACAATTTTTGTTCATCTATCTCAAACAGCAAAGGCGTTATCTCACTTTCCCATTTCAATGACTCTCCCGGTATAGAGGTCAAAAATTAAGGAGACACCCTGTATTTATTTTTAGATGTGCCAGATCTAGAGCTGAATGGTGTCCAAATTTAAACATGGCCAAAGTGACCAAGGTAGTCAAGGGGCTTTTGCAAAACTTCGGCTATCAGGATAAAAATGGAATTTTCATGTACCCTGAAGAAATGCTTTTTCTTTTAGAAACTGTGAGTATCCATGCCATTATTCAGATTAAAAATCATAATTAAGCATTTGAATTATTAGAACAGAATGGAGGTCACCTACAAAAATCTACCTCTGACTGTTCAAGAATGCTACAATATTCTTCTTCATAATAATGACTTTGAGTTCCGGAAGTACTTGGTGTACAAAAAACTTGTACTCAATGGATATAGGGTAGTTTCATATAAAGAATTGTTGAGGAAAGTATCTAGAAAAATACGTGAAATCGATGTTGATGTGGAAGAAAAACGTTCCTGCAAACGTAAAATAGAGGAAAGTTGCACCTCAGGCAATGATAACAAGAAAATTATCCTAGATAGTGACACAGGTGAAGAGCAAAAAGTAAAAGTCGATAATATACTGGAAAAAATACGGAGTAAAGCTCCAAAAACATACAGTAGTCATACATCCAAAGCAAATCCTGAATATTGTGTATTTTCGCCTAATAACAAGAACCGTACAGATTGGGATTTCAGTGTATATATTTGGTAAGTAATTTTGAACTACCCGCCGTTTTTTCACATTTTCTTTCTCCAAACTGTCAACTCTCGCAGTATGTTTGATTAGAAGTTTTTGAAATCTCTAAATGGCGGGACTGTGTGATTGCATATTATGGAAATACTTGATCAGTTTTTTTTTAGTGAGGATGATATGCTCCCAGTAAGCAGTACAGAAAAACCTTCAGTATTTGCAGTTTGTGTTGATGATAACGTTTCATTTTACACGGCACATAGCATTAACTTACCTTATTTAACTTAACATTAATAAATGTATCCCTTGTTGGTAAAATTGTTTATTTACTACATACAATAACATACAAAACTTGTAACACAAACAAAACAACTTTCAACATATAATTCAATATTTGTTCCTAGAGAGCTTTGGTAATACTTTTCCTAGGCAGTCACATGTCATATTATATAAAGATACTGCTGCAGTGGAATATAAAATAAAAATATTCGAGACCATTTAAAATGGTATTTGGTACTTGTAAAAGTGATTACAAAATCATAAGAAATGATGAACACATTTTATTATCAATTTAAGTACAAATGCCTATTTTGTATATGAATGTGTTATTGATATTCCTGTTCTATCCACCCCTTTGAAACTGCTTGCCACTCGCTTGTCACAATTCTGAAGTGTTCTTTGACAATTTCGAAAACAAGTAATTTAATGTGGATAGAACAAAAATAACATTACCTATAACTACATGTTAAAGCTTTGTATTCTTTGTATCGTACCTATAGAGGTATAGTTTTGAAATTGACGGTTATCTGTATGTAAATTCACTTTAGGCCAGTCATTATAGGCATTATAAAAATGAAGAGACAAAAAAACATTATTCCAGAAGTTCAAAATTTTTTGGAAGCTTCTTTATAGCAGTATTTGAGTTCCGGATATTGGGCAGATATTTTGTTTAATACCTATCCCTACCGACCTTACTGGAAAGTTTGAAAGTCTGGAATTATTGTGAATGGATGTTCCTTAATAGCTGACCTATCATTAAAGCAGTGCATATAGTTACTAACCAAATCCAAACCCAGACAAATACTTGTGCTAAAAATACTAACACACCTTTGAAGTGACCTAGATTAATTGGAGGCCGTATTTTATAATAATAGGCTAGTGAATTGATTTTTTTTTTAATTTTCTTGATCTTCATACCAATTTCAATTTTGTTATTCTTCCAACAATTTCTGAATGGTTTCGAGGTCTCAAAATCACAAAAGAAGTCTCAGTCTCATTCAACGGTGAAAATTTGCCACTCAACTACTGGTCACGACTCCGTGAGTGAAACACATAGTTGCCAGATGTCAAAGTACATCTGGAAATAACATAACTTGGCTATAAACATTCAAAAATTATGATTTACAGCTCTCACAATATGTGTAAACATTTCTAGTTGCTTTTCTCAGTTGGGCAATATTTCCTCCATTGAGTTGTATGTATGTATGAATGATCCTTTGAAGTCTACATCAACACAGTAGAATTGTTCAAAGTAAAAAAGGCAATATCAGTTCAGTAGCCTATTTTATCAAATGATGGAAGGAGCAGATCAGATCGAACCAACTTACCAACTATTCAACATAAAGATATACAAGTTGATTCACTATTTGGAAATGTATTTTTTTGGACTTTGGCTATCAGAAAGGGGCACTTCAAATAAATGTATTTGTGGAATAATCAATGTGGAAGCCTTATAACTATAAATTAATAGACATAATAATTATATAACAGGTGCAACAACCAACACAAACACAGGTACAGGTAATCAGATCACAACCACAAGGTAATTAAATAATACCTACTCATATAGGTAACATAGATTAATTCTACCAATCTAGTATCGGTCTAGAATCGAAACTAAACCTAAAAAAACCAAGATGACATTCCAGGGCTATTAAAGTGGGCCACAATGATGACATTGTTTGTTGCTTTGCCTTATATAAACTACTCAACACTAATTTCGTCGCACACCAAAATGTCGCCCCTGTTATAATGTGAATAACTTTTTTCAGTTTAGAACAATTTGAATTTGGTTCACACTGTTCGATAGCCCAGTCTTTCAGCTATAATCTCGTACTTCATTTAAACATGAGGGTATTCACATAAAATCTCTACATGATGTTTTCCGACACTGTGCAAAATTTCGGAATATTCAAAAGGCTCTCAAATGGTGAAACATTTTTTTTCTCAACTTCGCCAACAGAGGCATGATCTCATTACGTCAAGATATTTCGCGAATCAACTTCCTATCTCTCTTATTTACAGAGTGATCTCAAAAAATCAACTTTTTGGTTTTGCAGCCATAACTTTTTTCCACGTCAACCGATTTTGGAAATCTTAGGCTCATTTTGAAGATAAAACTTCAGATGAAGAGATCTGGATATCAGAATTGACTCAAGATGGCTATCAAAGATCTAGAGTTTTCTTGAAAGTGACCCAAATCTGGAACGCCCTTCGAATCTCGGTTGGGAGGAGAATTGAATGAAAATCAACTTGTTCTCGGAAAAACAATTCATTCTGTATGCGTCCACATTTTCCTCGCTCTCAGTACTCAAGAATGTGCGTGAGACAACACAATTGAAACATGTTCTTGCAAAAACATCAGACCATTTCTCCTCTGTAATGCATGGCCCGTAACCAACGTTACAAGAATCACAGTAAGTGACTGACAAGTCAGGTTAGACGTCTTTTTCGAATCATAAACAGATTTTGATAGTTTCGATGCCGCATCTAACGCCCGACCAGTTGGAACTGATTCCACAAATACAAATGAGGGAACAAGGGTTTTCTTCCCTCCAAATCGCGGATCTGCTAAACACGACAGTCCGATCCATTCAAAGGGCTTATATCCGACACGAATTGTTTGGTTATTACTGTCGATTCGTTCGGCGCATTATTGCGACTGAAAACTTTACGTAATTGGCAAACTGTTTTCGTGAAACTTTCACCATTTTTGAAATGCGTTTTTACAATAAATAAACGTTGTTTGCTTGAATACTTCTCCATATTCTTAAATCGCATGTTATGTAAAATGTAAAAATCACTTTATTGAAAAAATCAAAATCCGTTGCTCTTGTTGGTACACCATTTATGATGAGTCTCAGTTGGTCGGGTTTGTCAGTCACTCATTGTGATTCTTGTAACGTTGGTTACGGCGGGCCATGCATTACAGAGCAGAAATGATCTAATGTTTTTGCAAGAACATGTTTCAATTGTGTTTTCTCACGCACAATTCTTGACTACTGAGAGCGAGGAAAATATGGACGCATCCAGAATGAATTGTTTTTCCGAGAACAAGTTGATTTTCATTCAATTCTCCTCCCAACCAAGATTCGAAGGGCGTTCCAGATTTGGGTCACTTTCAAGACAACTCTAGATCATTGATAGCCATCTTGAGTCAATTCTGATATTCAAATCTCTTCATCTGAAGTTTTATCTTCAAAATGAGCCTAAGATTTCCAAAATCGGTTGACGTGAAAAAAAGTTATGGTTGCAAAACCAAAAAGTTGATTTTTTGAGATCACTCTGTAAATATGAGAGATAGGAAGTTGATTCGCGAAATATCTCGAGTTAATGAGATTATCTTCATGCCTCTGTTGTCGAAGTTTAGAAAAATTTTTTTTTCACCATTTGAATATTCCGAAATTTCGCACAGTGTCGGAAAACACCTTGTAGAGATTTTATGTGAATACCCTTATGTTTCAATGAAGTACGAGATTATAGCTGAAGGACTGGGCTATCGAACAGTGTGAACCAAATTTGAATTGTTCTAAACTGAAAAAAGTTATTCACATTATAATAGGGGCGACATTTTGGTGTGCGACGAAATTAGTGTTGAGTAGTTTAGTTAAATGTTTTAGTTTCATCAAGAACTCGCACTGATGGTGTTGTAAGCCGTATTAGGTATTATGCTATCTTATAATATTGCAATTCATTCATTTGGAAGGATATAAAAACCTATCAACGCTAAAATATTCTATAATGGGTGAGTGGACTGATAACTAATTATTGGCATTCAATTACTCCACTGTGTCGTTAAGGACCTAAATTGATTTTTGCAACATCTCTCACGCTCCTCACATGTAAATAATGAGTTTATGCGTTGTTCAAAATTGTTGAATTTCTGAGCTCATTTGAAACGTACCGTCATGACCGCCATTTGGCGATACGGCGAATGAATGGTGACGTCAGCTTTTATGGTGTTTCGTTATTGGTCAGATAATCTTTCATTCCCACTCATGAAGCAAGGTTGTCAAGTCACTAATTATAATCAAGTTACATATCAAAAAGATATTTTAGATTCTTGCCACTCCTGACTTTGAATAAAATACGAGAAAAACATAATAGGAGGAAGCCATGATAGTATAGTTCATTCTTGACTTTTCCGAACAACCAGCATGTCCAAATATTTCTCATACTCCAAAATGGAATATCATGTGAATGTTGAAGACTTGGCAACAATGTAGCTGAATGCTGAGAACTGACAAGACCACGCCCACAATTCGTGCGCCGTGTTGTCACGTTTATCCGAGCGTTTACTGGTTCAAATGTCCTCTAGTGTGAATTATAATAATAATTTTTTATTGACTATTAGGAACTGACAAGACCACGCCCACAATTCGTGCGCCGTGTTGTCACGTTTATCCGAGCGTTTACCGGTGTTTACTGGTTCAAATGTCCTCTAGTGTGAATAATAATAATTTTTTATTGACTATTAGGAAAAAGTATTATATCAATACATAATTGAGAATTAATGGATTATTGAATAACAATAAGTTTATGATCTACCCCGCCTAATAGAAAATCCATTATTACAGCTAATGATATTAGCCAAAGACAAAGCAAGAAACTTCAGTCAGAATGAACAAAAAATGTACCTACTAGGCTAGTGGTTAATATCAAATTTATGATTGTTTCACGGTAATATTTCCAGAAACTTGTCGCAGATAAATTTTTCTTCCAATGTTGAATTGGTTTCATGATTTCAGATTCAACTCCACTAATCCAAACTTGTTTTTTTCATTTGCTTCCAGAGCTCGACAGGGTAACGGCATAAAAAAATTGAGCCAGGTTTATTCCTATACTAATTTAAAAAATGTATATGATAAAAACATGGGTATTATTCTTCGGTATTATATATTTTGTAAAAACCGATATACTTGAAATATATCAGCAACGGCGATTCGAATCACACTAAGGTTACTAGAATCGTTAACGTACGTCGATGATCACCTCAGAGTCCTTAGACCATTCAGAATCTCGCTTTGCTCAAATGGACTGCTAATCGCCTATTTGAGGTGTCCCAGATATTTTCATACAGCCAATATCTTAGTTATGCTGCTTGAAACAGTATATTACGTAATATATGTTGTAAGAAGCATATTACGCACGAATGGAGAAGTTATGATATGATATTAAGTAATTCCATGAGTGCGTAATTGGCTTACAACACGCATTACATACTATACTTTACCTACTGCCATATAGTACATCGAAAAAGTTTGGACAAACAATCTGAATTATAATTCTTGACAGTTATGTCATCCGCTGTTGACGGCGATTACGCGAATAAACGAAAACTGTGCGATGTGCTTACTGTGCGTAAAGAGCTACTTACCGAGGCTGTATCTCGTGCGTTCTTGCATGCTTTCTATAGTGGCCGTAGGTAAAAAAAATACATATTTGTCAACTCCATATGACTTTGAAGCTGTTGTGTCAGAGTCAACTTCTATTAAACTACCCCTGCCCCAACTTCAATTATCCAAATTACATCTTAAACATTTTTTGTTGATTTGTGAAGTGCAATCAATTCTACCTTCAACCATGTATCACACTTGATAGTTTGACAAACGATATACTACTAAAATTACGAAATTCGAAGAAGACAGTATCAGGTACAGGATGCGCCTTTTGAAATGGAAATCCCCTTAACTCTATCGTTTTCAGATATATGAAAAAATGTTAAATGGAAAAGTACGACCCAAACTTTTATTTCGTGAAGTTGTTTCATATACAGGGTCATTCGTTTTTCCAGAAACGATATCATCTCCGATTTTTCAAATATAACACCCTATATAATTTACGACATGTCGATAGACCTTTTTTTTCTGATTTCAAAAATATATATGAGTTGCATATTTGGATGAAAGATAGTTGAGTTATAGATGATGATGATGAATATAGAAAAAATGAAGACTAAAAATGGACGTCCTGAAAACATACGCTCTGTGCGTCCCGAAGACTATAACTAATATTTCTGAAGTTCCCAATTGTATTTCAACACTTGGCAACTGTGTTATGGTCTGCCTCTACTTACGGAATCGTGGCGTCCGTTTTTACTTGCGGAAAATTTCTAGCCGTTTAAAAATTGCCGTGGAATCATTGATGATTTTAGCACCTAAAAATCGACCGAAAAATTCTAAAAAAATATTAAACCGAAAGGTATTTGAGTGATGATCCTATTTGAGAAATAAAAAAATAGTCCACTCGTCTATTCGATTGAATGCATGTTGACTGATTCAGTTGAGTTCACGTGAAATTTTTAGTTAGTTCAGAATAAAAGAAATGTCACTCATATGAGCGATACGAAAGCTCTGAATCGTCTAAGATGTCCACTGATACGAACTACTCAGGTATCACATTTGTTCCTTGGAATTCAGGCCCAACCGAAATTAATTCCAGTCATTTGGTGAAAATGGTTATTGAACGGCCTTTAAATGAATCATCAGCCTTGTAGACCAGAGTCAAAAATCTTTTGAACAAAAATAATTGTAGTAGGATGAAACTCACTGGAAGTTTTTATTTTTATCTTTCACAAATCTATTTTTTTCACGAAATTTTGTGAAAACTTACCTTTTCCTGTTCCAAAAATGATATAATTTTTTTCGATTCAAAATATTTATTTTTACACCTTATTTACAAAGGTACCTACAAAGTTTTTCCAACGGGTGTTTTTGTCCATATTATCTATGAAAAAAAAAATGTTTTCAATAATAGTAGATTATTTTATTAGGATCAAAAGTGACACTTTGTTTGACAAGCGAATTTTGCATTTGCAAGGCGGAGCGTTTAGCGAAGCCGAGCGAAAGCAAAATTTGCGAGTCGAACAAAGTTACTTTTGAACCGAATGAAACATGCTATTTTTTCTGCAACCGAAACAATTAACTCAAATGAATATGTGAAGTTACCACAAATGCCGTGCCATATGTATGCAATGCAACAAATATTGACAAATAATCCGTGTGGTGAGAACATTCTACCTGCATCAACAGCAGGTTCATTCAATTTTCAAGGATGTTCGAATTGTAGTTTCAATATAAATACAATCACAGAGTGACATATTTGTGTATGGACCAGGTGCTCTAATGGCAAATACCGCGCCAGTGCCAGCTATAGGAACAAGACGTGGAAAATGTTAGGTTAGTGAGCATATCAACAATAATAATAGCGATTATTTATTCCTCTCCATAATACAATGTTTTTCGCTTGATAATCAAAAGAAGGTAAACAATATCGTTGTTTGAGACAAAAAACTATTGCTTGTCGTGATTATTCAAAAACAAGTTATCTATCCCGAAAATAACGAATGAAATACAGATCCAGCAAGTATTTGAATCTTGAAGGCTTCCCTGATCAAAACAAAAATACTTGACTGAGATGTTTATAATTCCAATACTTGACTATAATAAGGTGTATTTATATCTCCAGCATGAGTATGAATTCCCAAATTTGCCGAAATCGGAAACAAATCAGGTATGCATCTCAACCCAAATAACCAACCGTAACAATGTTGTTTATTCTTGATGACGTCCAGTACTTCCTTTTTAGTTCCTAGGAGCTAAAGTTCAACTACCGGACTTTTTTTTCGGATTCAGGCCCAACCGAAATTGATTCCAGTCATTTGATAGAAATGGTTATTAAACGGCCTAAAAAAATCCCTCAGTCTTTGCAATACCACCGGATTGATGTACGGATGGCTGCGACCCTTCGTTTTACCCAGGCAATGTGGCGCCGAATGGCCCTCGCTTTTGAACAAGCAAGGGAAACCCTTGGTGGAATTGAAGTAGAAATGTTTTTCCGTCACCACCCTTTTAAGGCCTAAAAAGTCCTGCACCCGTTTCAGTTCGATGGCAGGATCAAGGACTAGTCTTTCGCCGCTTATGAAGAGTAGTTGAGACAGCGGGAAGAATTTCAACCATCTAGCCAAGTACCTATGGAGAGAATCTAGACTAAATAATGATACATTATTCCAGATTTTTTGGGATTTTCTCTCCTCGTTTCTATAAAATCAAAATATGAATATCATTTCAATATACGTGTAGTAAAAACAAGTTACATGATTTTCCCCAAATTGTCACTGCCTTGATAGTAATTTTCCTAACAAGTGCGGAAAGTGATTCTTTCCCGCAAGTGACTGCCGTTGACACGAACGACGCGAAGCGGAGTTCGGGCAAGCAGTCGAGTGCGGGAAAGACACTTTCCGCATGAGTTAGGAACAATATTTTTTCTACAAGCGTAGGAAATTGATTGAATCGTTCAATTAATTATTCAAGCAAATAGGAACAACTAACAAGATATATATATATTCTCTATCTATTAATTATTAGTAATAGCTATTGTGAACTTACAGTTTGACGCATTATGTTGGTTCATTGCGGAAGCCAGCAGGCCCATTAGGAGTTTGGTCTCTAGGTTACAGACACTTCTATGAAATGAGCCAAAAATACCTATTCTTCATTCGGTTTTTTCATTTCTTTATTGTTGCACCATTCAATAAAACGCGTGTATAGCTTCTCATACCTTTCTTAAGACTTCGTTGGTGATAACGCATCTGTATCAAATCCCTATAACTAGAAGTTTTTGATAACATTGTAGCATTTCCACTGAATCGAAAATGACAGTAACGCTGTGTCTGTCACTTCGACAATTTCAAACTTATTAATTTGAGGTTTGATTGGCATGACAAATTGACGTTTCCCGTCAGATCAATCCAAATCTATAGGGGGATTTTTATAATAACCAATTTTTATTTCTCGATATTTCTTAATTTTTACAATAAATAGTGCAATTTGATGGATGATTCTGAACATACATACTTAATACTGTAACAAACAAACTTAAACTTTTATATTCCATCACCAACCACTTATATTACTAGCGATTTTATCATATCTTTGTTTTCCCGCACTAGTGTGGGAAAATTTTCCCGCACTGTTGCGGGAAAATGACACTTCCCAAACTAAATTGCGTACGGGTATAGGGTGAATCACGCACGCTTGTAGAAAAAAGAATTTTCCTATCAGAGAGCCTAAAAGAAAAATTCACTAGTTTGTCAGTGAGAATTTGTATTGAAAAAAGTTTGGAGAAGAGAAATAAAGGTATATAGAAAAAATATCAAATTGTTACTTAGCTTTGGACGTTTCAGGAACGAATCTGCTCCGTTTTCAACATGAAAAATTGTTTTTTTGTATCGCAAATTCGTATTTGTCCTGACATTTTTCAGTTCTCAGTGACAATTGGTGACGTTGGCAATCAAATGAGTTACAGGATGTTTTCATTAATTATTCTTGAAGTTGCTATTTTCATTTTCACATTTCGATAGTGAATACCATGTTCTATCTATAGAAACTGAACAGGAAGCAGTGCTATTGTCTCCGTTCAGAAGAATACAAGCAGATTCACTGATTTTTCTCTTCTGGTTTGTCCTTCTGACACGTATATTGAAATAATATTCATGTTTTTATTTTATAGAAACGAGGAGAGAAAATTCCAAAAAATCTGGACTAATGAATATACCACCTCCTCGATTAACCTACAGACAGTATTTAAATAATAGTAGATTGATACTGCGATTAAGAAGTATAGTATGTTAGCAATGCTAAACGACATGGATAAACGAATGGAATCACAAATGGTGGGGATAACTGCGAAATCATAGCCAGTGAATTTTATAGATATACAGGGCGTCCCAAAATTGCTGGGACACAGAGCTACCACGTGTAGAGGAGGTCAAAATAAGTTGATTGGGCCCAATTTATTTATGTGCCAAAATGTACCGTTTGTCCGTGAGTTCAAAGTTCATATAAAAATACACATTTTTGTACGCTGTTCAGAAACAAGTGAAACGAATTTGAGGACATTTGGCAATAGTGTATTCCATAGCAACCTTCGATGAGATTTAACATGGTGATATTGATTTCCCTACGCGATTTTTTTTTTCAAATACGGTCCTGATATGTGTTCACAGATCCTGATAGCTTGTTTTTTCTGAATTCAACCATGTATTATTCAGAGTGGTTTGTGTTTTTTCTTTTGAGATACGTTGAAACGAAGAAGAACTAACGGACAGTGTTATCGAAGCATTCAATAGTATTACCACAGAAATGCTTAGAAATGTCTTAGAAGAAAATGCAAGAAGATAATTCCTTTGTTCAGAGAATGATGGTTATAATTTTGAACAGTTGTTATGCATGATATTTTGTTATTCAGCGTCGTTCGGCCATCTGCAATCGCGTGCGGAAAACCTCACTTTCTGCTTAGATAAACTACTATGTCATTTGGAAATGAGGAATGTCATTTTGTTTCAATAGTGTCAATCATATATCTGGCATATTTTTCTTCAATGTTCCATTCACATAATATTTTCTTATTATGAATTCCTCCACTGAAACATTTATGAGTAAAACATCGATGTGATCCAACTTCTCAACTGTAAAAACACGAGAGCTTTGCCAATCAGTAATTTCACGAGAAAAACTGACATGAAAAAATTGCGAGACCGTAGGTCGATCAATTTTGTCTAATGTCAGTGTCTCGAGAGAAAAAACTGATGGAAAATGTTGGAGTTAGTAAGGAAATTTATCCAATCAAAAAAACGTTCGAATGTTTTTCAGCAAGATGAATCAACGAAAATATTTAGAGAGATGGCAACCTTATCAATAAAATAAAGGTAAATAAGCAGTTCTCACTATGGCTGCGTGATATTGAATATCAGTTATCGGTTGAAATTTATCGATGTTCGATAATGATCGATACTCAAAAGGGCGAACAGGAAGCACTTTTGGGGTTCTTCATTAATCAAGTGGTTGAGCTGCACCCATGTCTGCCTCCTCTGAAAACCCTAATCCCTATTTATATATTCTAAAAAAAATACCATGTGAGTATTATACTTCTTATTATACTTTTATTTGTCCGAAACATGATCCTTATTTGAATTTTCAAATTAAAAAGTCCTGGAGGTGACTTCATGCTTTATTCACTTATAAATCATATCACTCCAGTTGAGCAACGATTGACTTCTACCAACATTGAAAATAATTCCACTTACCTGGAGTAGATACCGAGCTTGACCGGCCCCCAGGAAGTATCGATGATACTGCCCACGGACCCGTTAACGAACACCAACTGTTCGAACCGCCTCATCTCGGGCTTCTTCGACACGGCCTGCGCGTAATCCGAAACGGCCCTGGTGACGGGGTCCCTAACTACAACCAGCAACTTAGTGGAGGGATTCATGAGCTGGACGCGTCTGGGCGCTTCTCTGGTTATGAAGTACGAGGGGGTCTTCTCTATGGTGAGTTGGCCCTCTAAAGTAGCCGGCATATGCGAACGGTACCATTGGAAGCCTTCGAAAAGGTCCATGAAAATTAGACAAACAATACCTGAATAATATAATTACTGATAAATAAACAAATTAGCGGCGCATAAGACGACTTTGATCAAACCTTCTTTACCGAATTCCGAGGGGAAATACTAACCTTCCTGGACTAAAAGACGATGCGAAATGAGTGCTAACACTACCGAAGTAGGTATCGAATTAATACACACAACCAAAAGAACAATGAACAGGGTGGATGGAATTAGAGTTCCTCAATGTACTTGTTACTTTCGCTTTGACGTCTTTGTATACTTAGAGCACGAACACCCTGACAAGCACTGACAGTCAGACATAACCACAAATAGAATGGGTTGCGTGCAAGAACTGTCAGATGACCGACACTGGAGGCAAAATATTGAAACACAACGTCCTCGACAACGTCACTTTACTTATTTGTTTACAAGTGATTGAAATAGTTTTTCACAATTATTTTGGCATACGAATCGTATTTTTCCGCTGTTCATCAATTCGCTCATGCCATCACATTATGCTGTTGTGAAATGCACAAAAACTGCAGCGGAAGACGAAGTAATCCGGTTGGTACAATATGATTTGAAAGTAAGTACCTACTATAGTCACTCACATATAGTTTTCATTTTTGAAATTTGGTAATTTTTCTGATTTCTCATCGGAATTCCTTCTGCGATAGGAGCTAATAGAAATACATCTGAAATTTCTAAAACAATGCAAGAAAATTGGATTCATGCAATCAATCAGGAGGACTGGTCTGACATGCTGACGATCGTGTGTGTTGTAGACATTTTCAATATATTAGCAGTATTAGCTTGTATTGCAGAAGTGACAGAAGGCAGAAGGAATTTTAATAATGAATGACAACATTTCATAATGATAACTATGTGAGATCACTATTTACCTGAAAAATCATATTCTTTAGTCTCTTGCTGCATTTTTGTGCATAGTACAACAGCACAATGCGAAGGCATGCTCGAATTAATGAATAGCGCAAAAAACACGATTCGTATGCCAAAATATTGTGAAAAACTATCTCAATCCTTTGATTTCTCTGTAACCAAGTAAAAAAGTGAGGTTGTGTTTCAATAATTCACAGAAGAATGAGGTTGTGTTTCAATATTTTGCCTCCAGGGTCGGTCATCGTGCACGCGACCTATGATGAGAAAAGCGGAAACTGACAGTACAATAACGTACATGACATGAGTTTCAAACAACAAATTGGAGAAATAATAAGATGCAAGGTTGTGCTCTTTCGAACTACAAACATACTAGGAATCGATTAACGGTCCTGGTGACGGGGTCCCTAACTACAACCAGCAACTTATTGGAGGGATGTAACACTTTTGCTTTGATGTTTTTGTATACTCAGGCAATATTCCGAATTCAACTGGTCAGTACTGTCAGTAGATCCACTCAGGCTTTATTCCAAATTCAACTGACAGTACTGAATCTGTTGATTTTTCATTCCGTCATCAAAAAAAATTACTGAAAGTGACATTCTTGTGAGTTAGAATGTTGAGTCGAAATATTTGAAATGAATAGTATGTCTGCTCACACTTTCAGTGATTTTTTTAAATTTCGGAATGAAAAATAAGCATATTCAGTAGGTACTGTCAGTTGAATTCGGAATATGGCCTGACTGCTGAAAATCTGAGTTCCGAAATATAAAATCAAAGATACAGCTAATGCTGTAATCTAAAATTAGAAACATGTTTTCATCAGTAATCAGCAGCAGTTGATCAGCTGGTGAAATTTGTCAGTTGTCAGGTTGTCACTTCTATAGTTTCTCTTTTATCTGGCCAATTATTCAAATACATACATTTTCTAATATTAAAAATGATAATGTTTAAGAAACAACGACAATAAATGTGACATTCCTTACCTCTCTAAAATAATGACAGTTCACTGAAGCCACACTACTTTTTGATAGTCAGCAATTTCAGCAGCATGTTGAGTCGAAATATTTGGAATGAATAGTATGTCTATACTCACGAGTATCTGTCACTTTCTGTGATTTTTCTTATATTACTGAAAAATCAGCAGATTCGGTACTGACAGTTGAATTCCGAATATAGCCTCATAGTACGAACACACTGACAAGCACCGACAGTCAGACATAACCACAAATAAATAGATGAACAAAGCGGGAAACATGACATCAATTCCAAAGGTTTGGCAAACCGAAAAAAAATTGAGAAAATAATATGATTCAAGTTTTTACTGTTTCCAACTGGAAAACTACTGGGAATCGATTTACTTTGTTCGAACAACAACAACCATAAAATGAACTTTATTGAGTATAAATACTCAAAAGGCCATCGACCGAGATCCTTCAGCCACAGTACAGGTTTTATATATCCATATAAAGATTATTGCTATAAAAATGACATAGTTTCTCTAAAAGAAAAAGTCATATAACTGGTCTCTATCGTGGTGGAAATGTCTACTGAATCATCGCACTATAGTCTCTCCCATAAAGTGTGCTCCGGGTGTTTGTATTGTGTTCTTCTATGGTTCCTTCTGATACAGAATGGAGAGATGAAATTCTTGTTTTCGGCTTTCTCATTGAATTTCGAATTTTCATAAAAAATAGAACACTCGCGGCCGGCGTGTAATATAATAGGTTCAGCCAACAACACTTGCGGGGTGTTCAAAAATTTTGGTAGGATATAGAATATCATTCATTACTTTGATGAGTGAATTGAATTATTACCTTTCATGTAATTCTTGTCGAAAAAGTGTACTTCGCTGCCTGCTGCACGTACATCTGGATGAATGCGAATGAATTCGAGCAGAGCACGTGTGCCCCCTTTTTTCACACCTGCATCGAAAAAATACACCTATATTCCAGACACGAAAATAGGATGTTATCGAAAATTACCGTCCGATTAAATTTGCGAATGTCCTTGGGTTTGTTAAGAGACTTCGCGGTCGCCAAGGTCATTAGATTTATCAGCCTAGATCAGAATTAAGCTATTTATTGGGTAATCCATAAGATAAGGTGGACACACTTGAAAACTCAGGAATATACGAAATTAGTTGTGATGATTGTGATAAAACATATATAGGCCAAACCAGGCTTCCCAACAAAAGAAGGTTTCAAAGAACACTTATAATTCGTGTGTAGCCGAACACATGTTTAATCACAATCATAACACACATATTCATAACCTCGAATTAGTTAAGCAAGTTAATAATGTTAGGAAATTAGATGCATATGAAAGCTTAGAGATATACAGGAATAGTAATAGAGTAATGAATAAGGATAATGGACCTATCCCATTTAGCCCTCTGTATAGTTAAGTGATATAAGACCAAGGTTAACATGTGAACATTAACTTGGCGGTTATTGTATTTCACGGTTGGGTGGACACATACCTAGTATATAAGTAGCACACTAGGATAGAACATTTAGTTTTAATCTTCTCCTGAAGATGCTAACATAGTTAGCGAATCACGTGTCGAGGCATAAAAGAATCGGTTTGGTTAGTGGTAAAATAGTATGTAGTGCATCAGAAACATGCATAGTGAGTGTGACACATGAGTGTTCGCTAAAAAAATACTCAGTGATTTTTTGATCAATTTCGATTCATAGCAACTTTCGACCGCCTCAACCGATTTTCAATTTCTTTTCAGTTTCTGAATATTCGTTTCATTGACATCTCTTCAGAATGAAATTCTACAGGGTGATATTTTCAAAGCTGTGCAATTTTTTATAAATTTCAAGTTTCCCGTTTGGAAGTAAAATTTTTGTGAAAAACATATCGCACCACCTGTTTCCTTGACAGGGTTTTGAAATTTTTGGAATGAGAAAATTTTCAACATTCAAATGTTCATTCCTCTATGAAGTTAATGAGAACTTCAGTTGTGTGCATAAATAAGTCCGAACAAGGTACACATTTTTTTTATTTTCTTGACTACTTAGAAAAGCCATGTACGCAAAGCTAAAAATTCGAGCCGTTTTACGAAAAATTTTGTTCTAACATCAGTTAGCAATGGTACCTGGAATGACATAATCAACAGGTAGTATGTGTGGAAATTGGAATCTGGATTGAATTATTTCTTTAAATTATGTACTGAATACCTACCTGATCAAAAGGGAATTATAGAGGAAACATAAATATTAAAATAGCATTATAATTGACGATTTTAACATTATGGGTATATAAAAAATAACAATAATGCAGACAGCTTGTTTTTGAGGTTGATCATTCTTATTTGAATTTCTGTTAAATGGTTGAGAAGATATTTCAATTTCTCCAAGAAATTGATAACTCATCATGTCTGGCATTTCTGGCAACGTTGATTTTGAGGTTAGACCATACTGAAATGACAGCTATTTTTATTCTTATTTTCGGGTACATAGCGTGAAGGAAATAAATCAAGAAACTTATCATAGACAAATACTCCCAAATGAAACTAGATCTAGGTAGTAAGTCATAATAATAATTCTAAATTGCTGTATATTGAAAATCAAAATAATTTGAATGAATTCAATAGCCATTTTGGACATCAGAAACCTTATACTAGGTAATTGAATAATAATTCTATGTTAATTCTTTCCAGAGAAACTTTCCCATAATTTCTTGTCACTTTGGTATAATGGGTGGTCAAAAATCTTGAACTGATGCATGATCAATTGATTAACCTATTGATTGATACAGGGTGGTCCTCAGACAATAATTATGTCCTTGGAGAATATTATATTTAATTGAAAAGGAACATTCTCAGATATATTTATGAACACAAAAAAATGGTTATATATAAAGAAATACATTGAGTATTAGCATTCTCCATGTGATGAAAATATTAATTCTTTCTCGGTTCATTCAACAGAAAACAACTACTTTCCTGGCTATATGCCAGGATAATAATAATAATAACAGTTGAACATTTTTGATCATGTTATATCTGCTGTAATCCCCAAGACCCATCTGGAAAATGGTGATTTTGAAGGGGACATCATAAATATGTAGATAATTCTGGGAACATTTCAGATAAACAAAGGTGCAGAAATGTTTTAGTGAAAAAATTTCATATTCAGGTCCTAGTTTTTATCAATAGTCCTATATTAGAAAAATTGCTACAAATTATACAACAGCACACTGAAAAGCTGATGAAAGGGCCTAAAAATTTATGTTTTGCCTCAAACTTTCAAAAAATGTTGAATGAAAAAGTCATTTGATATTTTATTTTGTTAAAGAATGTATTACCTCCAAAAGTGAAAAAAAAATTCAAACACCCTCAGTATGCAGGATGTACAGGGTATCCCAATTTGGGCACTTTTGCGGGGTATCTCCCTTATCAGTAAAGATAGAGCATTGCGGTTTTCGCGACAATGTGCTACTTTTTTATGAAATTAATAATGGCGCAAGCAGAATTGTGGTAGCTCTTCCGGTTGTCTAGATACAGGGTGGAATTGAAAAATATCACCCCCCGTGTCTCAGTTATCTTTGAACTTATCGAAGAAGTTAAAACTTGTTTTTATAGAGTTTTTCTCGTAGAATCCAGTGGCGTAGTTATTTTTTTGCTAGCACCTTTTGTTTTTTAGTTATGGAGCAAACATATGTTTTTTTAAATGGAAAATAATTGTATACAATTATATATTTTTGGAAAGCCCACTTCATGCTCAATGTATATATGAAATAATATACAGGGTGTTCCATTTAAAAAAACATATGTTTGCTCCATAACTAAAAAACAAAAGGTGCTAGCAAAAAAATAACTACGCCACTGGATTCTACGAGAAAAACTCTATAAAAACAAGTTTTAACTTCTTCGATAAGTTCAAAGATAACTGAGACACGGAGGGTGCCTGAAAAGTGATATTTTTCAATTCCACCCTGTATCTCGACAACCGGAAGAGCTATCACAATTCTGCTTGCGCCATTATTAATTTCATAAAAAAGTAGCACACTGTCGCGAAAACCACAATGCTCTATCTTTACTGATAAGGGAGATACTCCGCAAAAGTGCCCAAATTGGGATACCCTGTACACTTGAAACATTATATTATATTCCTTTCATATGTACTCCAAGAGATGAAATAAGAAAAACTCATTGAATTTTAGTGAATTTGATCAAGTTTGATTTTTTTATTTTGGCTCATTCATAATCATCAATTTCATAAAATCCCAGTTGAGATGAAGTTCCAAAGTTGGAAATATTTTCTGATTTTGAAATTCCACAGATTTCACAATCATATTATTTATTTTTATCAAGTGATAACCATATTTCACAGTTACCTATTTCCTTATGATATTTATAATTTCATTTCATGAAGTACATAGGTAGTACTGATTTTGATCATCTACTGACAAATTAGGAATGAACCAGGTTGTAGTTTCATCAGATATTTTAGGTCTTATTGACAACAACTATCCTGAATAACAATCAAAGCTAAAATCAATCCTGTGAATATTCTGATAATTAAAATTACAAAGGAATTGTCCTATGGAATGTTGGTAGGTGTATACATAATTATTTAGTTTTTCTTCCTCAGCTATGCAGAAGTCATGTTGAAATTGTGGCATCCAAAAAGTGAGTAAAATTCAAGATTTAACAGCATCAGAAAAATTCAGAACTATATCTTTCAAAATTAATCAGAACAAATAAAGTGTAGACACTCTTGTAGATAATGGGGTAATAAATAAAGTGGCTCACCAATTATTAAAGCACTTGGTAGTTGTCTCTCAGGCCTCAAACCCTGTTCTCTGAAGAATTTGTATTTTGGTGATATGTCAGTTTCATTTCCTTCTAATAAAGACACTACTCGAACGGATGTATAGTGAACTAAAGGGATTTCATTTGGCACTACTGGATGAATTTGCCACTAAAAAATAGCAATATTCCATGTAGGTACATTCTGTTATGCTCTTATAATGATTACATTTAATCCAGCAATCTTTCTGAGAGTACATCCTGAAAAACAACTTTCTAATGAAGGTAGTTGAACTTACTTTTGGTATTGCTTTGGAAAGACTGGACACTACACAGGAATTGAACATGAATGAGACATAAAAGGAAATAGATGCTAATAATATCAATGCTAGGATTATTTTTTTAGAGATGAGGAGTTCCATGCCTCAAACTAGGATTATTTACATGATCCAATGATTCAATATCAACAAGTTTCACATCTGAAAGAATTTTTTCAGATAGATAAGTACATACATATTTGAATATAATTGTTCAGTTTTCTTACAATAATATTGATAATACTGGTGAATACCATGAAGTCATTACTATAATTTGTTTTCTTTCAATATCCAAAATACTTCTAATTTCAAGAACCATGTTCAGCAATCAATGTTCTTATAAAAGATCCATTTCCATTATTTTGATTACTTGATTTGTTTATTGTTTACAATTTGAAATATTTGAAGTTTGGTTTGACATTGTGACATTGACAGACGGTTGACATGGGTTGACATTGCATCACGAAATATAAATCTATATAAAAAAGAAGAAGTCTCCGTTCCAAAAGTCACAGTCACAGAGTGAACAGAAGACCTTCCGCGCAAGTAAATAAGTTTGGCTGCTGGCTGGGCGGCTGCTACATGAACGATCATTTGCAGGAAAGAATCACATTCGATATTATTATTAGTTGATTCCTTTAATTGAGTTGTAATTATCTTTCTGCCCTTTAATTGAAATGTATGAGAACATTTCGTTTCTATCAAAGATCACAAACTATGATATGCCATCTAGTTGTGATATTTTTTCAGATCTCATTTTGCTCCATAAGGTTGGGCATCTTTTCAGCGAAAGCGTAATACAGCATGACATTTTGAAAACTTCCTACCCTCAATATCTTCCTTCCAGTGAATAATCGAAAAGACAGGTCATTTTATTTTCAAGGAAGAGTGTCCCAAATTGATATTTTCAGCCCTCTTGGTTCAACTCCCTAGGAGGGGAAGATGTTACCCTTAGAATTTCAAATGGGAAGGGGGTAAAATGGCACATCATTTTGAAGGGCGTTCAATATTCTTTCCAACGGTACCCTATAGTTTTATCATTTTCTTTTGAGCAGTTTCCGAAAAATGCCGTGTCAATTAGAAAACTATTCCTTTCAGTAAATATACACTCACCGGCAAAAAAACCGGCCATTAAAAAAATTAGCCAAATCGTTCGCCCTGTAACTTTTCTTTATTCTAGTCCGATTTTTAAGTAATATTGATTCTTTGAGTTGTTAATCTATAAGTTAATCTAGGTTCTGATTATGTTTGATAAACATTGAAACATGCCATCCTTTCTACAACGTTCTTACCCTCTCTTAAAAATAGGATATTGACGTGAATGTAAAACTATTGTGTTGAGAAGGAATGAAACTCAAATTCAAAGCATAATGAAGCCAAGTTCAACCACTCAATTACGCCACAGGGTGTTAAGAAGTAGAGGGTGAAATAGCAACTTTGGTTTTTCCCTGTGTATAATGATCAAGTCATTATTAGCTTTTCACTAAAATCGGACAAGGATTAAACAAGTTACAGAGTGAACAATTCAGGCACATTTTTTGGTGGCCGGTTTTTTTCCGGTTTGTGTATATGAAAAATCGAAGACACGTTCAATGTCATTTTCAAGGGGTACACTTTAGCTTTCTTGGTTCAACCCCTAGGAGTGTTAGATGTTTTTTCATTTTTTGATGTACAGATTTTCCGAAAAATGCCGTACTAAAATTATAGTAGGTAGTAATCAGAAGAAGCCTGCACTGAGATATAAGCATTGTTTTCAGATTGGTATCATTGTATTGATTAGGTATATCCTTTGACCATTTGAACATCTCAGCATCTCAGTTCAGGCATGTTCTCATTACTTTTGTAAGTTTTAGAATACGGCATGTTCCTGAAATTGCTCATCAAAAAATTATGAGCTATGGAACTGTTGAAAAGAGAATTGAACGCCCCTCAAAATGATGTGCCTGTTGACCCATCTCCTTTTCATATAAGGTTCTAAGGCTGAAATCTACCCCTCCTAGGTGGTTGAATCAAGAGGGCTGAAGATAAGCATTCAAAATGTCTTCTCTGAAAATGAAATTGACCTGCTGTCTTTTAGTTTTTCCATATTATGAACTGTGAGATAATAGAGGGGTGAAAAGTTTTTCTTGATTTGACACGGCAATTTTGGGGAATTGCTACGGTTCGAAAGTTTTGATAAACAATGTCATTCGGTAAAATCATTAGACAACAAGCTGTCGTAACAATCGCCGAATACTTCCGGCAAAATAGTATCACATGCTATAACATATGACATATGACAAGAGTTTGCAATGAAACTCTTTGTGTGGTCGGATTTACTGGCCTCGAAATAAGCACGGAGTTGATTCGAATGGATTTATTAAACCAACAACACCCAGTATGAGAAAAATGGCACGCCTCGTAGCACAACTACAAAAACGCAGTTCTGAAATAGTACTTACACGAAATATAATATTTCGTTGCCTACCTACAAAAACGCAGGCACAGGTGAGAATTATTTCAAGTATTGAAATAATTTCCCTTGGAAACCAAAAGCCGTTTTAATAATTGTGTTGGCCACTTTGGTTCAATAACATATAATGTCACATTCATCCGCTCTAGATGAGTTGGATTCAGAAGTGAAGAGAATTGTCGGATAGCATATAAAAAGCTCAGTGTTTTTGCGGAGCCCGGGTTTTTGCGAGTCGTTCGCGTACCTATGAACTTTACTGGCAATTTTGGTACCATAGCGCATACAGGGTGTTCTAAACAAACCAGACGAACATTTACAGTTAACTAATTTATTTCAACAGTGAACGATAAATAAATGGAGAGCTAGGGGTTTTGCTACAAGTTTAAATGGAAAAAATTCAATATACGTAGGTACAATGAAAAAATTAAAGGTCAATCTCACTATATGGTGAATCAAACAAACTGCTCAAGTATTGAAACTTCACGATGCAAATGAAATGATACAAGTTATTTTGTTGAACCAATTAAATCGACAGTACACGACGAAATCTAATATGTGACTGATAAATAATGTTTTGATTCATTATTCTGATGACTGATTAGTTACGTCACCTTTACAAACGATAAATTCCCGAAAGATAGAATCACATGTACTTATGACTAAATTTTATATGGATAAATCGTTCAACGGGGGGTAAAAATAAATCGCATATATTTACAATAGAAAAACAGGGTCATTTTTGGTAGGTATATAGGGTGAGTCAATAGTGTGTTTTCTTTATATGTTAGCCAAACCGTCGCATACATAGACAAAATTCAAATACATCTGTCAATTTTGAAATTGCTGCAGTTTTTTTGAATCTTGAGTGAAATGAACCGACTTTTATATATGTTCCGTGTACCTAAGATGCCATTTGCCATTTTATTCTCACTCGTCACACTCGTCACCAGCAGCAAGAGCATCATCACCATCTAGCGGAAAAAAGTAGATTTAACGTCTCGCTCAATGTGACGTAGATATATCATAGTAATCGACCCAGTAACTTTTCTTACGTAAAAATGGTCAACTACGAGTACCAATTACTTATTTCCATCATTTATGAGTACTATCACCTACAAATATTTTCATATCTATAGGGTGTACTAATTCTAAGATTTCGGCTGATGATGAGTTTTTCAAATAGGACACCCTGTTTTCAACTGCATTTTCGAATGCACTGTCAGAATTGCTACACAGCTGTTTTTTGTTTCTTATATTTGATTCTACGGTTGCCAAGTTAGTTCTCTATTTCCGTGAAGAACTGATTGTGTAGAGGCATAGAAAAATTATATTGTGATTCTCATTATTTGGAAATTGGAACGAAATAAATTTATACGGATAGAGTACAAGATGTGTTCCATTCGTTCCTACAAAATCAGTTCTAAATATCGAACAATATGTCAATGTCAATCTTGACGGGATTGAAGATGCCGAAACTTCATTCATTTCAAATGGAACACCCTGTATTTTTTACGTTAACGCGGATTCAGATCCAAATTACCCTCAATTTTTATGAAGTAGGTATGTCAGTATGTCGTATACCCCAATATTGCCGTATTCGATATAAATCTATTTTTTTCGAAAACTGACATTATGGATAACCTCAATAGAGTATATAAGTTTCTACAAAATGAATGGTGGATGTTTTTGCAACTCATTCCATCACCTTTTTTAAGTACCTCTGTATTAGTTAACAAAGCAAATTATTCCATCCTAAATGAATACGAAAATAATTTGAAAATATTTGTGTTTACTCGTAACAAGATGGCGAATATTATCGCAACTTGTTGCATTGATATATTGATATCCATCTAGATCCCCTTCACAAATAGAGGTGAAAAAAGCGAATTTCAAAAATATTCCATCGTCATATGGAAATAAACCGCAGTAAAATACCAACCACGTGATGAATGACTCCATATAAATTATATTATACAAAAACACTCACTTAGCAGCTCGAAAAAATACAACTTTCACTCACTCAAATGAAAATACAATCACTAAGCCAAATATGAATTTAAATTTTCCACTTTTTTATTATCACTTGAATCGACTGTACGCGATGGAGGTCTAGAACGAGACTGCTGATTGGTTTGATTCATCATTCGAATAACTGATTAGTTACGTCATCCTTCCAATCGACTAATTCCCGAACAAGTATGACTAATTCCGATATCGATGGTAGGTGTACGGGATGGAGTGAAAGAAAATTAAGAATATTTTCTTTAATTTTCTCATGTCTGAAATCAGTTCATATTTTATTATTATATTTATTGTTGTTGTTTATTATTGTTTTATCCGTCATTCGGTTGCCCCCTATACGAGCAACCCTCAGAAGTCTTCGAAAGTCTTGTGCGTGCAAGGAATGACGGGGGCCTTACCTTTACACGTGTGATCCCAAACACTTTCTTGGGCCATCAGAAAAATTTCTGCAGTCGATGGGAATCGAACCCACGACCGGCAAGCGAATGCGGATTAGAATATTGACACTCTGTCCACACGGCTACCTGGATTCAGTAAATCAATAAAACACAGGCTAACGGATATTTCCATGATATCAGATTTTTGCTAATCCTTCTAATTAACGTGAAATTTCATCTCGAAAATTTGATAATAGCCTTCCGCATGGAAAGTTGTATGTACAGAGGTGACGTCAAAATTGCTACAGTGTAGAACTTCGGATTGAAAAAAAGCCTCACATTGGATTTTATCATTTGATTCCTATATTTGTTATATGGGTGCCCTTCAATACTATTCGTCAAAATTTAGGTTTTGAAATATCTGTGCTTATTCCAATGTCACTTGTCATTCTGTATATTACGCTGAGTTAAGTAGATATCTAATATTCAACTTACGAGTTATTATTGTAAAATTTCGAAGCATCTGCTGGGGATAGTCCTGCACGAT